ATCACTTTGTTTTGAATACATTTATTGCTTAAAAGAAAATCTCTCTCTCTAGATTTTTACTTTCTCTCTACGTTTCTATTCGTGTTCTTGAATTGTTGATCTTAATTCATCATGAATTGTTATTAATTAATCTTTCTGGGGTTATCAATTAGTTCATGTGAATCACAAGGGTTCATATGTGAATCATACGAGTTCATGTGTAAATCAGTTAAAATAATCCATGTGTGAATTGCACTGGTTCACTTATGAATCCGTTTGTCATCTATTTGTAAAAGTTACAAAATTACTCCTATTTTTTGTATAGCCGTAAATTTTTACTGGTCAAAACCGTAATTCTTAACTAGTCAAATTTGATCTTAAGTGTATAAAAGAATAAGATTACTTTTTAAATAATAATCATTTCTCAAAATAACGTATGATTACTGCGGTTAAAGTAACCTATGATTAGTGGAGTTAACATAGATATATACACACGTGTATATTTGACCCGAGTGGTTGGCGGGTCGAGATGGTAGTAGGGATAGGGGAAGGGAACCTTTGACGTGTTCAAAGATGCATGCTACTACGAAACCGGCCGATATTATTATTTTAATATATTACATTAAAAGAGTTGAAAAGGAAAGGCAAGTAGCCAAACAATTGATACCTTTTCTATTTTAAAAATGATATTTTTTATATATATATATATAATTAGGGTTGGGTTCATGTAAGATCAAAGGTTTTTTGTGAGACCCGTAACATCAATTTATGTTTATTGATCAACGTTATAAGCTAATGATCTAATGGTATGAATTGCACGGTGGCAATTTTGTGATTATTGAGAAGTCTCGTGGCGTTTATGAATGTTTAGATTTTCAGATTGTAGATCTAATCCAATGGTTGAGAATTAGTCTTACGGGTCTCACGAAAAACCATTGGTCTCACATGATCTCAAGTCTATATAATTATATTATATTATATTCAGGGCCGTCCCTGGGGGAGGGCGGCACGGGCGCACGCCCAGGGCCCAAAAATATAAGGGGCCCAAATTTTTACCTTAAAGTATATAGTAGTCTAAAATAATTTAATAAATTAAAGAAACMAAAAAAWTRTAGCATATAATAAGAGACAAAAATAATTTAGTAGGTAATAAGGGCCCAAAAATATATCAACTAATTACATTGGAGAAGAAAATAAAAAAAATTAATTGATCATTCATTATATGTTATTGTTTATTGTTCCAATAATTTTTTTTATCTCTAACAAGGTCCAATGATATTGGCTATTGCTATCTCTATATGCTTGACTATTTTCATGTTTCAACAATTCAACGTTAAGATCATGTGTTTGCTATTGCTGTATATTTTTGTTAGATATTTTTATCAATTTCTATTTTTATTGACTATTGGTTATGTTGTTCTAATTGTTTTTGTTGACTATTGTTATCTATTTTTGCTTCTACATAAAATATTTTACTTTTTTTTTATAATTAATCTATTGTTCTTATGATTTATGACGTGTTTCATGGTTTTGTGATTAATCAATAAATTTTTTCTACTAGATGTATTTAGTAATGTCTCTTATATATGTCATGTTTCATAAACTTTTAATATTAACATTTTATTTTAGTTGAGCAAAAAAAGAAGAAAAATATAATTTAAATATTTTCATCAATTGTTTGACTTATGTATTTTTCATTGGGATTCCACCACACCACAAGATTCTATTTAAGTGCTCAAACAATCATTTGTTGAACTTGCATATTATATGTTTAATTCATTATATAGTTTTACTAGATCTCAATGGATCATCTTTTCTTTCATATTCTTATTAATCTTCATTTGTCTACTTGTCTAGAAAACCTTGATAATCTTCTTTATTATTGATCTCTCATTGACCTCATGATTATTTCATTAACACAAAATCTCTTTTTGTACCAAAATAATACATATTTCTTGTTATAAAGTAGAAATTTCTTACGTTTTATAAAAATTTATCAACCATAGTTTCTATACTCTTGGTTTAAAATTACATAATAAGAAGTACGTAAATTTAAGTACTCTCTTATATATCTATAATATAGATAAATAAGATTTTTTTACTCAGTAAATTATTAACATTTCTTGTACTCAATTTTATACTAATGAAAAACATTTATTACTGAAGGTCACTACAAGAAAAGTGAGCTTTGACGATGCGTCTTTTAGCGATGACATGTTTCATAAGTTATAGCAATGACATGTTGTTATATATTCTTTCTAATGATAAACGGACTTTTAGCGACAACAAAAGTCGTTGCTAAAAGACTTGTTTCTTGCAGTGGGGGCCCTGTTTTATATTCGCCCAGGGCCTAAAAAATGTCAGAAACGGGCCTGATTATATTATATATATAGTTATATATATAGAAATGAAGATTCAAACGAGAACACCTCCATTTTACGAGAATGCAAGAATACTTTTATCACATGTAATAATATGCGTGAGGGGGCCTGTGATGTACGGACGACATATTCTACGACTTATATATATGGTATATTTCAAATGCAACCATGTTCATTCGTACAACCAATGCAACCCAATCAATTGAGATATTTATGAAAATGATGATGATTCATTTATTATGATTTGAATATTTATAGAAGATGACTAGAGTTCATTAATTATGATGAATACTTTATATTATGAAACAATCAAAACTTTTATGAAATCACATATTCATCAAATTAAATGAAAAAAATATTTATAGAAGATGACTATAGTTCATTAATTATAATTGTATTTAATTTGTTTGTAACTAAATGAAAAGAATATAATTAATATTCACGATGTACAATTCGTTAGTGTTGATACAACTCGAAATCAAGCATTAGTAGTTAGTAATTAATCATCGAGAATATTTCATTCAAATATAAAATGTCAAAATAGATATTATAATTAAAAAGTCAAATCCAGTTCATCAATTAACTATGATGGTTTTAAACCTTTTTGGGTTGATTTCGAAATAACCATAACCTAAGAAAACAATCTCGGTTTTTAGATTTTGGGTATCAATTAGACTTCAAATTGAGTTTTCAAGTTGGGTTTTCACATTTGTCAAGTTTTTGTGCACCCGTAATTCCAATGAACGTAGAATATTCCCTTTAGATGGTAATTCTTGATAGTTTTGCCATGGAACAACTTCAAGGCTTGAAACTTTTTAGACTTGTAGATCTATTTTTAAGAAAGAATACTTGTTCCAAAACAGAAGTATTTGTAGGCATCATCTACTGACTTGTGTTACCGACATCAGTTTCACATGTGGAAAAACCGACCGCCATATCTTCAATGGAACATAATCAAGTTCCCACGTATTTTGTCCTGAGCAAGAATCCAATGTTTAAACAAGTTAGAATTTAGGTCCTAAAGTTGTCACGAGTTTCCTTTCATATGGATCTTGTTTGGAACTTTCCTACTCGTCTAGTACCTATGTACTCTCTTGTTGGTTTATGAGGTTTTATCTATACTATGTTATAAAGTATTTGACAAAAACTCTTAAAAACCATTTTTTATACATGAAATACTATTTATTGATGCATATTACTTAAAATTCAAGATTACAAGTAAATTATGCATAAGTACAACTTATTAAAGCTCCATGTTTGAATTCATGTAACTAATTACGGATAAACATAATTAAATTGAGGATAAACATCTCATTTTAAAATATAAAATATAATTAGAATAATTATTGAGTTTAACAAAATAATTAATTATCTTTATAAAAAATTATATTATTAAACAATATAAATTACTTCGTTATTGAATCTAAATTAAATTACAATAAAAAAGTTGAATTAAAAAATTACACAAAAAATAGAAAATTTAAATAGTTAATTTAATACTAATATCGATATATTTTTGTCAAATTCTTATGTTATCTTCAAATTTATATTTTATTCAAAAATAAAAACAGTATCATTTTTTCAAAATCACATAAGACTATATTATAACATCAATCGAGATAAATAATAAAACAAAATATTAAAATCAAAATATATCTCGCTGCATTGCGCAAGTACCCTTCTAGTATCATTAATATACTTTGTTTTTTTGCTCAATAAAACTACTAATTATTCAAGAAAATTATAAGTTGAAACAAGTTGTCTTTTTTAATATGAAAGAATACTATTTGAAAGTCAAATAATACTTCAGTGTTTTATTCTTCAGGAGTAACTAACAAATTTTCCAAAAAAAAGCATTGACGAATGCCCTTAGATTCATCGATTAATTGTTGTTCAATTACACTTCTAGATTAGTATAATTTTTATAGCAACGATAAAGAATAAAAAACCAATATCAAAATCAGTAATCTTTTTAGGATAAATTAAACAACATTGATGAATACCCAAGGAGAATGGTTAACCGTTAACTATTATGTTTGTCAAACTAGCTGATAAGTTAACTGTTAACTGAAAAAATAAGATAGTTGATGATGTAAAATGACAAACATAACCATGAGGTTTTTGGTCATTCACGTAAAATATGAGGGATGTAATCGAAGGGGGAAAAAGCTCTTACAGCTTTTTAAAACCCTATTTGAATTAGATTTTTAAAAAATCAACTTATAAAACATCTTCAACAAATTCTTTACAGTAATTAAAATAGAGTTTTTCTTCTTTATTTTACTCAAACAGCTTTCTTGTATTGTTCTATAAAATAGAGAGAATACTGAAAAGCTCCAAAAGATTTCCTTAAACAAACTTGCATACATTAGTACGATCTAGTTAATGTACCTTTGTCGATACCGTTAGCTTAGGGACCATAATGAGATGAAATAATCTATTTCGATTTTAAAAAAACAAAAATTAATTCTTAGTGGATTAAATATGGATATGAATGAATAGTTGAGGGACTAAAGATGTAGTTTACTGAAAACATTGATAGAGATGTAGAGATGGGACCCGCCAATTTGACTGGGCATATACATTTCTTTATTTCTCTTAAATTAAATATCAACGCTGCAACCTCCTTTCTCTCTCCCCCAACTCAATATTCTTGAAGATGGACTCGCCGGATTTCCCCACCGGCAAGTCGCCGCGGTCTCTCCAAGGTCCCCGTCCGGCACCTCTTAGAGTCCACAAAGATTCCCACAAGATCAGAAAACCACCGGTGGTTCCACAGCCGTACCACCACCACCACCAACAACAACAACCACAGCCACCACAACAGCAACACCATCGGCCACCGGTCATCATCTACACCGTCTCCCCAAAGGTAATCCACACAAACCCAAATGAATTCATGACTTTAGTACAACGTTTGACCGGCCCATCTGCCTCGTCTCCGGTGGGTATGGCCTCCGCTTTCCAAGACGACGGCGGCGCTGTATCGCCGGCAGCAAGATTCGCATCCATAGAAAAAGCGGCGAAATCCCCAGACGGCAGGAAAGCAACACAGATCGGAGACTTCACCGGCGTGGAAGGGTTGGAGATGGGGTACTTCCCCGGAATATTGTCTCCGGCACCGGGATCACTTCCACCAATCCCCCCAAATTTTTTCTCTCCATTAACCAACGATTTTTTTCACGATTTGAGCCCAGTTTTACATAGCAATAGAAATTACAATTACATGGAGGGCAATAATTTCATGGCGAGCCCTACAAATCTTCTATCCTCACACATAATTTCACCCACCACTCCAAATTTGGATCTTTTCCACAGCTTATTTGACTTGTAATCTGCAATTTCATTGGTTGATTTCATCATAGTGTTTAGTTGCCTTTGTTTACCAATGAAAAGGGTTAGGGGTAGAATTGGAATTTCACCACAAGTATTATTTTATTTTTTTTGGTGGACCAAAAATGAGTTGGGAACACTTTGCACTTGACTTTTCATAATCTCTCTTCTATATTTTTTTTTATTCATATTTAAACTTATCATAATTCAATTGATTGACACCTTTTGGTTGCCTTTAGGGGTAAAATCGGAATTTGGTTGATAATATAATAATCTTATATATATGATATATGTCATGGGTTATTTGTTTACCTTTTAATAGTTTTATTAAGAGACAGTTTTTGAATCGTTAAGAGGTGAATCTTATTTGGTAAAAAAAAAAATCAGTCTCTTATTGGTTTTAAAACCCTCTGAACGATTTTGTATCATGTGTCTCCTTTAACCATTCAACGCCTTAATTTCATTGTAAACAATTACCAAACAGTTATATTTCATTTTGTACTATATCATGAGAGCATCTTAATCATTATGACCACTTAATCCTTCTGCACCAAACCATTCAGCAATTGTCAAACAGCCCCTTAGTTGTTATAAGTCATCTCTTAAATACCGTTGTGGTCTCGTCATGGCTCTTAAGGTTTGAGATTTAGTCTTGCCATCACACGTCTCACACTGTTTAAAACATTAGTTTCAACCATTCTTTTTTAATGCACGTTTGACATAATCATGTAATATTTCATACCTTAACAGGTTAAGAGCATCTCCAGTGCATAAGCTTTCACAACTTTTAGGCCTTTGTTTTTTGAAAAAAAGCTTTTATTAGCCTCAAATGTCTGATTCGTTAAAAGGTGGGGTCATTCAGACTGTTTTTTTTTTCTAATTTTTTTAGAGACACTTATATCTTATTATCCTTTTATCTGGTAAGAGGTAAACTAACATCTTAACCTTAATCGATCATTTTCTCTCAATTGATCATTACCAAATTGATCATCGCATCTCTCAGTTGGTGTATTTTAATAGGATTTATATATGTTAAATACCGTTAATGACATATTTTCGTTTAAATGAATGCTAATTATATAATTTAAATATACATTTCGTAATGATGATGAATAAATGTGTGAAATTGTATAAACTTATCGATAAATTCAACATTATAATTTCCTAATTGGTAAAATAGACAATTTAAACAAATTCAGACAGTAATCAGTTTACAAAAACAAACAGTCTTATTGATTCAGATTTCAGACTTCAACACCACCTCTTATCAATCAGAAGTGAAATTAACACATTTTAAAATACAAGCAACTTTACTATTTACAAAAAAGTCTTTGCAAAGACTTAAGGGACGTTTACCAGATGCTTACTCGGGTAAGTGAATACCAAGTTACATTACCTTACCGGATGAATATGTAAGGACCAAGAATCTTACCCGGTAAGAGCGAGACAAGGACCAAGAGTCTTACCCGGTAAGTGACAACGACGACTTTTACCACGGTAAGCGCTTACCGGATAAATTATTGCATATGATACCATTTGTGAACTAAAATCTTACCCGGTAAGTAAATAATAGTGTTAAATTTTACCAATAAGTGTTTATCGGGTAAGTGTTTAGTAAACGGCCCCTTGGTAGCATTGGTATTAAAATTTCATTTTAACCCCTTATTCAATTAGATATTCATTTTTACACCTAATCAAATTTCATTAGTTAATTATACTTTTATAATTTATTAAACATTTAAAATGAAAATGATAACTTTTTGATAAAATACATAGTTTTAAAGATTTCATCAACACAATTAAAATAATATTAATATTGGATACTAAAAAAACATAAGTATTATAAAATATTTGAAGAGTGCTCGTATAATATAACGAGATTTATCTCAATTTTAATGTTTGGTTTTATTATTTATTTATGTTGATATAAAATGGTTTTTAGTGGTTTTGAGAAAGTGATAATGTTTTTATTTTCGAGAAAAATATAAATTTAAAGATATCATAAAAATTTGGAAAAAAAATATTGATATTAATATCAAATTTATTTTTTAAAGTTCTCGTTTTTTTGTTAATTTCTTTAATTCAATATTTTATTTATAATTTAATTTAGATTTATTAACAAAGTAATTTATTTATCGTTTAATATAATTTTTATAAAAATAATAATTAAGTATTTTGTTATAAGTAATGTATATTTTGTATTTGATTATGTTTATTTATAGTTAGTTACACAGATTAAAAAATAAAGCTTTAATAAATTATAGTTACGCACAATTTACTTGTGATCTTGAATTTTAAGTAATACGTATCAATAAACAGTATTTTATGCATAAAAAATGGTTTTTAAGAGTTTTTGTCAAGTGCTTTATAATATAACTAGATTTATATTGTCTTTTATTTTTTAAATTATATAATTAATATTCATCTACTTTCAGTTTTTAACTACATAACTGATATTAAATATATTTCAATTTTTGAAAAATATGTTGTAGGTTATTGTAATATTTTTAGATATTTGAATTTTAAAGTTAAGTAATTTTTGTTTTCAAAAAATATGACGTAAACTTTAAACGACAAATTAAATAAGGGGTTTTTTATAAAACATTTTAAATAGATGATGATAGATTAAAATGTAATTGATGGGAAAGTTTTTCGAAAGGATTTTGCATTGGAGAAGATTTGTAAGAACAAGTTTTTTGTTAACGGAAAATTGATGCGGCAAAAATAAAAAGTTTTCGAATAACTCATGCATTGTGGGTGCTCTTAACAATCTGGTGTTCGGATTTAAATTTTTACGAGATGTTATTTACATAAATTTTTATGAAATAGTTAGTAAACTGAAGCGACTAAGAGGTCGTTTACCTAAATATTTACCCGGTAAACGTTTAACGGTAAAATTCAACTATATTGCTTACTTACTGGGTAAGATTTTAGTCTACCAAAACCACATTGTATGTAATAATTTACCCGATAAGTGCTAACCGTGGTAAGATTCATCGCAATCACTTACCGGATAAGACTCTCGGTCATTGTCTTCGGTCTAACAGGTAAGATTTTTGGTCCTTGTCATGTTGATCCGGTAAAAAAATATTACTTGATAAGAACTTATCCAAGTAAGCATTTGATAAAAAATAACCAACCATTTATTGTTTTAAATCCTTTTGTTTTGTGACATCCCAAACCCAAAACAAACGATCCTAATAACTTATAAATGAACTTAGAAACCTATTCATAACACCTCTTATGGCATATAACCTTAAATAATATTTTAATTAAATTTATGACTTTCTCATGAGTATTTAGTCATGTATTTAATAGATCAAGTGGTTATTGATGTAATTAAATTTCATTTAAGGTTATATACCTAAATGATCGTGAGAATTATTAGTGATCAACAACTTAAAATTTATAAGGAGTTTATAAATCTGAATTTTATATATATATATAGAGAGAGAGAGAGAGAGAGAGAGAGAGAGAGATGAGCGATCAAATAAAAACCGCCTCTATTTGTGTAAACCAATCTCACTCATCCATTTTCTCGATCAATGGTTAAGATTAATCAAGGTTATTTAAGGAAATTAAAAATAAAAATAAATGAAAAATACATTTTATAATATCGATAAGGACAAAAGGGTAAAACCAAATATTCATTTATTCAAGGAAACCATATCATCTATATCATATTATTAGTGAAACTAATCTATTTTTTGTAAAGTAATTTATTATTTTTACGTTAACATTTATTATTATTAATGAAACTAATTTATTTTTCATCTTGCAATTATTTCATGACGAACCGCCTACATTATGCACCCGTTTCATTTTTCATTTCATCTACTGAATGGATCACCTACACCATCACTGAAACGGGTTTTACCATGATGAAAGCAGTTCACCACTCATAGTTCAATTATGTCATGAACCAGTTTCACCTTCATGAAACCTGTTTCATGTAAATTAATTTTTTTTATTTCACTCATGATTTGATGCATTCTTTCATTTACTCCTTACAATCTTCAAGAATCTGGAGCAGATTACAATCTTCAAGATTCAATCTTCAAGATTCCGAAGCAGATTCATCATGTACCCGTTTCATCATGCAATTATTTCATGACGAACCAAATAAATTATGCACCCGTTTCATGTTCCATTTTTTTCTACTAAACGGATCAACTACACCATCACTGAAACATGGTTTACCATGAAATGATTTCATATTACTCATGAATCAATTACAACATGACCTAGTTTCATCTTCATGAAACCTGTTTCATGTAAATTAATTTTTTTATTTCACTCATGATTTGATTCATTCTTTCTTTTACTCCTTACAATTTTCAAGATTCTGGAGCAGATTACAAAAGATTCTGGAGCATATTACAATCTTCAAGATCCCGAAGCAGATTCATCGTGTACCTGTTTCATCATGCAATTATTTCATGATGAACCAAATAAATTATGCACTCGTTTCATGTTCCATTTTTTCTATTAAACGGATCAACTACACCATCACTGAAACATGGTTCACCATGAAACGATTTCATATTACTCATGAATCAATTACAACATGAACCAGTTTCACCTTCATGAAACCTGTTTCATTAACATTATTTTTTTAATTTGAACCATAATTTACGATTTCATTCCATAATGCAATTCAATTTTCAAGACTCATTTGCAGATTCAATCTCATAACAATATATCAAATTCAAAATTTTAATATTATAATATAATTAAATATTAAAATGTTACCATTTATACAATTTCTTTTATTACGTTTCCTTAATTAAAATTTATTAATAACTTCCATATTTAATAGAAAATATTGTAAATGACCGAAATACTTTTATTGATTTAATTAGAAAAAAAAAAGAATTTTCCTATTGTCGAAATTTATTTACACGGTTTCTTAGAAATGCACGGTTTTCATTTGAACGTGTCTCTCTCTCTCTCTGGCCTAATCAAATGAGAATTAATTAGTTTGTGATAACCGTGAGGTTCAATCTCAACCAAAAATCAATAGATAAATTAGGAAATGTATAATTTTGGTAATTTTGAATTAAAATTTTAATGCAAGAACATTCTAGGTATTTTCTCTGCTCTTTCCGTCCCTGACGTCTGTCCTC